GGTGCCAGGCCAAGCAAGCCAGGCATGACAAAGCGGATACAGATGTCTGCCAGTTGAGTGGCAAATGTTCTGGGACGGTCTGGCATCGGCGATTCCTTTGCGAGCACTGGCACGACTCCCGTGCTAAGTATGTCTCCCCTGGAATGCTCATTGCGGCCGCGGCCATGCAGCTCGCTGGTCAGGGCCTGGACAGGGCCGCCAGCGGCTTGTTTCCGTTTCCCCTGGAGCGGGTCCCGCGGCCCTTCTGGAATGCGCGGTCCGAGGTTGTCAGGGTCCAGCAACCCGAGTGTGGCTTTATGACTGGACTTTTTTTTTTTTTTTTTTTTTTTTTTTTTTTTTTGTGGGTTTTTTTTTTTTTTTTTTTTTTTTTTTTTTTTTTTTTTTTTTTTTTTTTTTTTTTTTTTTTTTTCGGATGGCTCGGCCATCTTTCCAACCTGCCCCCTGGCAAGGAGGGCTGGCTGGAGCCTGGTGCAGCTGAATGTTGAAGGACTGATGTTAGCCGCTGCGTATGGTCCCGTGCCGTGGCACCTCGGTTCGTACCAAGCTGCCCGCGACGGTGAAGTTGTGGCCATTTTAATGGCAACACGCGGGTTTGTGCAGGGCGAAGCCACCTTCTATTTTGACTGTCAGAGAACGGTCGATCGCGTTTCAGATCCAAGCCGCGCCTGCAGCGCTGCCATTCCCAGAGGCCATATCTGGGAAGAAGTGCACCCTAGCCTGCCTGAAGCGAGGGCGGTCAAGGTGGCGTCCCACATCCTGTGCGGCGCGGTGACAGAAGGCCGAGTTTCGGAATTCTACTGGGCGGGAAACAGGGCGGCGGACTTTTATGCTGGCAAAAGCACCGCTCCCCACCCAGATCCCAGCCCAGGATATAATGCGTTAGGTTCCTCCCAGGAGGCCGTCAAAAGCTTCGCCCAGTGGGCTGATTTCCAGGAAGTCCACATGGCTGAGGCAGAGGCTGTCGATTCTCACTCGCTCCCTCCTCCTCGGTGAGGGGACGGGGGGGGGCGGCGTGGACGTGGGGCGGCGGGGGGTGGGAACTCAGGAGCGCCCGAGGGCGCCGCGACCGTCGGTGATCCTGGCCCGATCGCAGCGGCGGCACACCCTCAGCCCAGCGGTGACTGATGAGCTCGAGGCTTTTGCTGCTGGCCAGGGGCACGCGATCGAGGAGGCCTGCGTCTTCTTTGGGTCGGGCCTCCCTCTGCCCCCTCCAACGAGCAGCGGAGTCTTTATCGGCCATGCCTGTGGTGGATATGCATGGAATGGAATTCAATCCTTGGAGAGGTGGTGTGATGACCACCACCTTCACCCGCCAATTCTGGAGAGCGGGTGAAGCTGTTTTCCCTTGTGGCTCCAAACAATTTGCTGGCTGGACCGCCGGGCCTTGGAAGGCCCTCCCGCCCCAGGTCTTGATGGGCCTCCTCGCGCCATGGCGCGGCTTTTTGTTCTGGACCAAAACTTGCCGCGGGCTTCCTTCGTGATTTGGGGCCCTTGGCTTGACTGTACCTCTGTTGGCACTCCTCGTTCTCTACTCTGATCGCCTTGATCAGATATAGCAGAGAGACGTGCCCTTCTCGAGCTGATGCACCGTGAGCGTGCTCGAGACACACACCAATGTGTGCGTGTGTGGTGTGCATCCTTTCGCATGCGTGTGTGAATGCCTCTGGCGCGCATATTCTTGGTGAATGAATGAACGAGGAGGCGGAGGGGTTAAGAGGAGGAGGGAGTGAGGGAGGAGGAGCGAGGAGGGAGGGGGAGATGAGCAAGGGGACGAGTGGGCCGGGTGCGCGACGGGGGTCTCGTGGCGGAGCCTCTGCACATGGACTCCGACAACTGAACAGTCCCTGGAGGGCCTCAGGCCTCCGCCGAAGAGGCTTCGACCTCCAGAGCGAGACGATGTGGTCCACTGGGCGTTGCGGTCTCGACTCTGGAGGCCTCCGCCTCCAGAGGCGTCTCGCCGCGGGCCGTGTTCCGATGGCATCAGATCGGAGTTCCGCCCGCCCCTCCTCCTCCCTCTCTCCCCCTCCTCCTCCTCCTCCTCCTCCTCCTCCTCCTCCTCCTCCTCCTCCTCCTCCTCCTCCTCCTCCTCCTCCTCCCTCCTTCCTCCTCCTCCTCCTCCTCCTCCTCCTCCCGTCCTCGTCCTCCTTTTCCTCCTCCGGGCGCCCGCCGTGCATTTTAGCAACGCCTGGTGATCTGGGCCCCATGGCATCAGGGCCGGCGCCCGGATCTGTTCCGTTGATTGGCCGCGGCCACGGGGGCCGTCCGAAGACCGTTGAAGCATGCCTCGCCTTGAAAAAACCAGCCGTTCCAGAAAGGGCCTCGCCTTCGAGCCTTGCTGGCTCGAAGGCGAGGCGCTTGACATGTTTTGCTTGGCTGGAGCCTGTTTTTTCCTTGGTTGCTATATATGTTTCGACGTATCATATATATATATATATATATATATATATATGTTTGTTCCTTTATTTATGTATTTATTTCCTGGTGGGCGTGCTATATATATATATATATATATAGCTCGGCTTTCGAGCCTCGCCTTGACATGTTTTCCTTGGCTGGAGCCTGTTTTTTTTTAGACTGTGGCAAGTTTGCTTGCATGGACGGGGGGGGGGGGCTGAGCCTGAAGCAAGCCCAGGGAGGGGGGGGGAGCGCGGAAATCACGCAAGTCGAAAGGCACTTGCACGCTAGTATTCGCTTGAAGAGGGGCGAGGGGGGGGGGGTGGGGGGGGGCGAACGCCATGCAAGTAAACTTGCTTGAATCCCCCCCCCAAAAAAAACAGGCTCCTGAAGGCCGACGAATTGGCCAGTTGTCCGCCGGTGGACGGCCAGCGGGACCCGGCGGGCGGAAATGGGTGCGCCCCCGAGAGATGGCAACCCTCCTGGGTTCATGGCGTCGGGGGCGGGCTGGACGACTTGGAAGTACGGTCGGCCCGGATTAGTAGGTCCACCCTGCCAAATCAAGGGTGCCCTCGTGTCCTGTGTCTCGCGACCCGTGCCTCCTGCGTTTCTGCGGCAATTTGCTTGGTACACTCGCCAGCCGCGCCCGACTCCGTGTCGCTGCGCGCGGCCGCGGCGCTAAGTGATGGGCCTGTCTTCCACCACCACCACCACCACCACCGTAAGTTGGAGGGGGGGATGAGGTGGAGGATGACGAGGAGGAAAAAGAGGAGGAGTTCTCCCCCTCCCACTTATGGTGGTGGCGGTGGAAAGCAAGCCCACCACTAAAGAGGCGCGTGGGTCTCTTGTCCCCTCGCGTGTCCAGGGGGATTTTCGACGAGGAATAGAAAATACCCAAAACGAATACCCCAAAAAGGCAACAAAAAATTCAAAAAAATAGTCCCCAGACTATTTTTGGATTATTCTTGGATTATTTTGGGGGTATGTTTTTTTTCGTCGAAAATCCTCCTGTAGGGGGACAGGCCCGACTTAAGGCAAGTCGGCCCAGCGCGTTTCTTTGAACGCTCCCGGAGTGTTCTGAAGCGCTCCGGAGCGGCCGCGGCGCCTGATACACATCCTCCAGGCCCGTCCGCTGTCTCGGAGATCCCCGATTCACCCTCGTCCGAGTGCGTCCTCGTCCTGCCTCCCACTTGGCATCGCTCGGACGTGTACATTTTTTCTCGGCGAGAACCATCGAGGACCATCCTGGACCATCGTGCAACCAAAAAACATGCACGAAACCGAAAATTGCACGGGAAATGGACGTCCGAGCGACGGCAAGCCCAGGCCTCCGACGTTTTGAGTCTTCAACGCGGGGTCGTCCCCATCGTCTTGACGGCCCCAGCGCTCGGCGAGGGACCCCAGGCGCAGAGGACGTGGACAAAGCTTTTTGCCTTGATTTCTTTTACCCATGCGTTGGAGGTCTCCCTGGATCTGGATCCGCCATAGTCACGTTGGTCTTCCGATCAAACATTGTGTCGGACATGCAGCATGCACCCCAAACGATTCGAAAATATAGGAAAAGGAGAGCGGCGATCTCCGCAAAGGTTTGGCGGAAACAGCGACGGTAAAGTGTGTGGGCCGGAAATCGACGACAAAGGACCCTCAAAAGTTCACGGGATGGTTTCGGGATGGTTTCACGGGATGGTTTCACGGGTTCGGCTTAAAAGCACTGGCGAAATTCGGGACCGAGGGTGACTCCGATTATGATGAGAGTGCCCCGCTGTCCAGAGGTGGCACGGTTGCGCGCCTAGAGGCCATCCAGCGACAGTAAAGGGTGCCAGTGCTTCTCCGTGCTCGCTTGAAGTCTTGACTGAGAGCTTTTGCACGCTGGGAGCCAGCGGTTTCTCGAAGCTATAACTTTTGAGGCCGTTAGCACCCCGCGACCATAGGGCCCAGCACACGCCTCACTGAGCTTAGTTCAAGAATCGGCATGCAGGGGACGCAAAGGGGTAGTACAGGAGAGGAACAAAAACCCTCAAAAGTAGGGCGGGAGCTTCCACCATACTTTCGGAAATCGCTCAAAGTGGGGCGGACCCAGAGTCAGTGCTGGGTTCGTCTGAGGTCGGGCGTGGGTTTTAACAGGAACCCGGCTCAGTCAATTGTTTCCCCAAACATGCTTTGCAGATTTTCGCGGGGCTTCCCAAACCCGGCTCAGCCAATCGTAAGGCTACCTCCACGGTTGCGAGCGGTTCCCAAGATCTGGCTTCAGAGGATCATGCTGGATCTGGCTGTCTGGCGGAGCTCCGTCAGCGCTGAGCCCCCTGTGAGCTCCGATTCGGAGTGGAAGCCTTCGATGCACGGAAGCCCCGACCTTTCTCCCCAGGGCCGGTGTTTCGTCCGGAGTGAGTGTTTGACAATCTTGGGGTCCGAGGAGGGCCCCCAGAGGTCGAACACGGCAACAATTTTGCCCCGATGCTCTCAGGCGTGTCTGGGCCCAGGTCTACGCCCTCGTCCTGCCCTCGTCAGACGAGGCCTTTTCGGCGGCCGACGCACGGGCGGCGCACGGGCGACGCATGCGCGACGCACCTCTTGTCGCGAAGGGGGGGGGGGTCAGCACGCCGGTCGTCGTACTGGGCCTTCACACCGCGTCTCAGGAGTGGAAGGTCGAAGCCTCCGATCCAGGAGGCCCCCCTGGGGGCCCTCGGGGCTCGCTCCATGGGGCGCGCGGCCGCCGTGCGCGCGCTGGCCTTGCTGCTGCCGCTGGGCGCCGGGGCCCTGCGGCACGGGGGCCCGCAGGTGGCGCGCCCGAGGAGCCCCGGGCTCCGCCCGCCGCCTCCTGCGACCGATGCTGGCCACGCGCAGAAGGGGGTAAGGGGGAGGGGGGAAGGCTTCTTAGAAGCACCCCTGCTTCTTAGAAGGCGCGGGCCTTCGTTGTGGATGTGAGGCCGGCGCCTTCTAAGAAGCAGCCCACTTCTAAGAAGCCTCCCCCCCTCCCCCTACCTCCTTGTGCGCGCCGCCAACGATGCCTCGAGCAGCATGAGCAGCATGAGCACTTTCTTCGTCGGCGGCGAGGCAGAGTTGGGTGCACCAGCGATAGAGCGACAGAGCTAAACGGGGGCACCGTTGCGGCGCTTTTAGCACCGTGCAAGAGGGGGGGGGGGAGAACGGAAAAGCTCCGCCGGGAGGGAGGAAAAAGGGGGAGGGCCGCTCAGGGGGACGGGTCACGCCCAGAGCGGGACGGAACGGCATCAACAAAAGTTTTCGGATGTCTTCGCGGGTTTCTTAGGTCGGCGCTGGGCCCCCTGGCGGCGCCTTCGGCGCCGCCCCCTGCGTGCTTCGCGCGCAAGGGAGGGGGGTGCAGGGCCGATCCCCAAAAATCCGTGCGGACGTCCGAGAAGTTATGTTCGTGCCGGTTGTTGTTGGTATAACTACTTCCCCTCTGCGGACCTCCTCGCGTCGTGCTACTCGGGAGCCCACGAAAGGAGCTGACGAAAGAGCTGACGGTTGCGCACGAAAGGGGCTGACGAAAGAGCTGCCTGACCTCCCACGGGCGCACGAAAGAGCTGACGGTTGCGCAGTTGGCAGCCGCCATGGAGCAGCGAGGTCTCGGCTGGGTCTGCGTGGCAGTCCACTCCACTGGACCACTTGGATGCGCACGAAAGTAGCGACGGCTGCGCAGTTGGCAACCCCCAGGGAGCAGCGAGGTCTCGTATGGGTCTGCGCGGGAGCTCCCGAAGGTGGCGACAGTTGCGGAAGTGGCAGCCCCCAGGGAGCAGCGAGGTCTCGTCTGGGCCTGCGTGGCTGTCCACCCTGCTGGACCTCCCAAGAGCGCACAGAAGGGGCGGCCGTTGTGCAGTTGGCAGCCCCCCAGGGGTCCGCGAGGTCCCAGCTGAACCCGAAGGGAGAGCAGGATATTATTGGGAAGGCCTTCTGGCTGGTGCCGCCGACCCCAAAGGCTGGACCTCCCCCAGGACCCCCGCGGGCGCCCCCCTCAGGGCATGTTGACCTGGGACTACACCTCCCCGCACCACCTCCCCCTCCCCCTCCCCCTCCCCCTCCCCCTCCTCCTCCTCCTCCTCCTCCTCCTCCTCCTCCTCCTCCTCCTCCTCCTCCTCCTTCTCCTGCTACTCCTCCACGGCCTCCTCCTCCCCGCACCACAGGCGGGACCTCCACTGTGACCCCCGCTGGCGACCGCCCGGGGGTGCCCCCTTGTCCCCCTCGCCGTCCACGGGGGGAACCCCCCAGGACCCGCCAGGACCCCCGTGGAGGCCGGTTATCTGACCCGGGACCCTCCTCCCTCCCCCCCTTCCCAACCCCCCTTGCCCCCTCCCTAACGCCCTCCCGTTTCAGGGAGGGGAAGAAAGAGATGGAATCGACTTAAGTACGACGTTTCTTTACTCTGTTCGCTGATTCTTCTCATGGGAGTGGCGACGACGACGGAGACGACGACGACGAAGACGACGACAGCGTCTCACGCACGCCGAATGATCGGCGGGCATTCGGAGGCAATGTCGGAAACAAGCACGTGTGCGGTAGAAGACAGGATGAGAGAAAAGGAGAGAGGCGGGAGGAGGAGGAGAAACGAGACCACAGTGTTCTGTTCAAAACGGCAACCCAACATAGGAGGGTTGGTAAAAGGGAAGGTCGGCGCAGGTTCCCCCAAGAGCTGACAGCACATTTGGATTCAGGGTCTCCGACCCGTGCCAACTGTCCTGGCTGCATCCCATGAGGGTGGCCATGGGAAGCGAGATGGCCAGGGCGGACAGCGGTCTGGGCGACGCCAATTGATCTGCGCCGTCGCACCCCCGGAAGCCCTCACAGTTTTAGACGCTCGGGCCGTCTGCGACGCCTGCAAAAGCGGGCCGTGGGTTCTCTGCGAGGGCCCATGGGAGGACGACCAGATCCGCAATTACCTGGCACAGAATCGAGAAATCGCCTACAACGACGGTCTCAACTGCCGCTGGTTTTGCCAGTGCTGCTGGCAACGCCACCTAGAGGAGAGCTGCATCGAGGTACCCCTGGGAAAGAACATGGCAGAGAAGTTGGCCGCATACCAGAAGGACCGCAGTGCCGAGCACGAGGTGAAAGTCAGCAACATTATCCCGACATCTCTCTGGATGCCGACACTTCGAGCCCAGGTGCCCAACCCAAGCAGCGATTAAACACTGTTTCAGCTGCTCCTTACGGCCATTGGCAGCGACGACCCAGGGCAGATCGGCAACACTAGTCGCAAGTGCCGTCCCATTGACGACCGGCTCGCCACTGGCGCCAGTGAGTCTGGGTCCTACTCCGCCATCTGCGACACCTGCGGCGGGGAGCCGGTCAAGTACACGTGGGAACCAGGCCATCTCGCGCCCGGCTCTTTTGTCTGGAAGCGCAGCTCCAGCCTGGGATGTGACGACCGATGCGGCCTCCCCGAGGGGGACCGCTGGGTGGAGTGCTGGGCTGGCGCCTCCTGGAACGCTTCCTGGCACTGCCGCATCTGCTTGTTGCACACCTGGGACATCGCACCCAGTGTCTTCAAGGTCACTCCCGACAGGGACTCTGTCCACATGTACCCTCCCTCACCAACGAAGAGGCCCCCCAGGCCCAGGCCTGCCGCCGACAACTGCCTACGCGGCGAGGTCGGCCACCCGCGGGCTGTGGCAAGGCAGGGCGACGTGACGCCACCCCGGCTTCGCTGCCCCGACCGTTCTGGCACCAGTCGGTGCGAACACATCCTCCCCATCTTGCCGTGTCTCCCCCGCCCGCGTGCACCCCCTGAGTCGCCGTGGTGTCGAGATCTACTTCGCAGCAGCGAGCGACCAGCGTGGGACGGAAACGGCCTCTCTCCTGGCACTGGCAAGGCATGTCCGTTGTCTGGACCCAGCCTCCGACGACGCCTGGATCGCCCCTTCCTCCCAGGAGGGTCCCAAACCGGGCGACTGGAGTGACGGCGCCTGGGGGCGCAGACTGACCTGTACCTACATCCGTTCGCTTTACATTAGCACACTTACCGACGACGGAGTCCCGCCTGGCACCACTTGGGATGGCAAGAGATGGGCGGCCGTTTGCCTGTTACGTCGCTTTGCCCAAAAGGCTCTGGCAGGACAATCCTGGAGGCTCCATGCTCAGACGGGCGCTCCGCTCAAGGACACCGACTCCGCCCACCGCAGCACTAGCGCCCTTGTGGACTGGCTTGCAAGCCTCGAACCTGACCTGCTAACGGACGACGTCCTGTCGGACGGGGAAATAGGCAGAAACGACACAGACCCAACAACAGCGCCGTCTGGAGAGGCCACTCCCGCGCAGGCTGCCTGCCCCCCACCCAGCGCACAGGCCGGAGCAGAAGAAGACGAGACCACGGACGCAGCGACTGGCGACCAAAGGGGGCTCCCATCCTCTCAGCCCCCATGGGAAGACGGAGCGATTGGCCAGGCTCCAGACCCAGACCCGGATTGGACATGGGGGCCGGAAACCGAAGCACCACAGACGAGCCCGGAGCTCCCAGCGGACGACGACCCCATCCCCTCACCTACCGACGAGGAGGCCAGCTCCGAGCCCCCCCCCCGCACCGTGACCCTCTGCGCTGCCGCGCCGGCCAGCAGCGACCACGACGCCGCCGACGCGCGGAAGCCGCTGGCACCCCCCGACCCCGGGGCGAAGCAACTGGCAGCAGTGACCCAGCACAGGGGACCTTGGACGCGCGCAGAGGGACACGGAAAGGGGCGCGACCAAGGATGGACTCCCTACGACCATGCCAAGCGGCATGCGGACCGCGCGCGGAGCCCTAACAGAAGCAGGTGGACCAGCTACGGCTCCAGCTGGAACGCCCATGATGACGGGCACGCGTACGGATCCAGCTGGTCAACCCAGACCCCCGACGTCGTGAGAAACTCACGACGTCGGCCCCGCGAAGTCTGGAGACCTTCCCTGGGACCGGTTTTTTCACCCCGAGCCGTTTTTTGACGCTCCCGAGGCCCGGCGGGGGCCTCCCGAGGCCGAAAATCACCAAAAGCCCTCGTCGTGAGTTCCTCGCGACGTCGGAGGTCTGGGAAGCTACAAGTCATGGGAATATGGGCCCAGGGACGGGGCCATGCAGCGCGCGCGACTCCTAGCAGCCAAGCTGTTGGCATGTGGGTGCGAGGAGTCTGGCGCGATGTGGTCGCCAACCCCCTCGCGCCAACCGACTGCCTCATTCACGACGGCAACGAGATGTCTAAGACGCCCGCGCACCTCGTTGAGGCGCAAGGTGTGGTGAGTGCGGCCGAGAGCAGCCACGCCTGCATCAAAAGGATGCAATCCGAGCTCGGAGCCGCATTCAACAGGGTCTGGCACAGTTGGACCGAGCGCAAAGCAACCCGGCCCGGGCTCGTCCCAAAGGACCCACGTTTGCAATCCCAGGCCGCCTGCGGCAAATTTCTGGCCGCCTGGCGACAGAACGGCTACGATGCCCATTCTCTCAGCCAACAGCGCAGAATTGACACCGACTTCGACCGCGCGCGCCAGGGCCCCGCGACGCACGATCGGGGCAACGCCAGGCGCCCAGGCAAAGGGCTAGACCGCGACGCCTCCGCGGCGCGAAGCGGCAAGCCGGGCGAGCGCAGCCGCGGCTGGGACGAACTTGCTATGGACAAAAGACACCGTTGGTAACCACCTTCCACCATTCCCACCGCATCTTTCACCTCGCACCCCGCCTCGGGCGGGTTCTAATATTGTGCTTGCAGTGATCAGCTGCCTTCCCCTCCCCCACTTTTCCTCCTGCCGCCACTCCCCCCGCGTTAACCCGTTGCGACGGGGCTTCGCCCTGGGAGTACCTATGCCGAGGTCCCGTGTTTCTTCGACGGTCAGCTTCCTGCTCTACCTTGGGTATCCTTCTGCCGAGGTCATCCATTCCGTCGATGCGATTTGTTTCCTGCTTGCATTGGCCTTTCCTCTGCAGAGGCTTTGCGAGTGATTGCAGCGATCATCTGTTTACCTTGGGAATGCCTACCGAGGCTTTCCGAGTGCTTGCAGTGATCAGCTGCTTCTTTTGAACATCTTCTGGATCTGGTCCGGCTGGTGCGGCGCCAGCCCCCCCGCGGCTTCGATCCCGTCCGCCCGCCACGTGATGGCCGCAAGGGCTCATGTCGGTTGGCCGGACGGACGGGCCCCATCCCCGCTAGTGGCCCGCTGCGCCCAAGGCGCCACGGTCCCGCTGGCAGGCACTTGCGGGCGCCGGCCTCCGCGCGGCCTCCCGCCGCTCCACCCTCGGGCTACCTGATGGGCGGCGCTCACTTGCACGGTCCTCTCGTGCCGGCCATCTTTGTCTTCGGGGTCGTGCACGCGGGGCGCACGGTGTCGGTCGACGGCCATCTGAAGTCCTGCACGACAAGGTTGCCCCCGTCTCCTGGCCTCGGGCACGCGCTGATCGCGGCTATTTGGATGACTGCCGCCGCTTGTCAGGCGCGGCCCGCAGCCTACATACTCGACCTCCTGCTCACCTGGGGTTCGTCGGCTGTGCTTCTCCGACTGGCTCGGGGCGCCCATGGGCGGCGCCGCTATTCGCACTTCGGCCACCTGGTCCACCTGCCCCTTCGTCCCTGGCTCTGTCGCGCACTTCTGGCGCCCCCCTCGCCCGCGCCCTCGGGGCGCTTCAAGTTCCTCTAATTCGGCAAGTCTGCGGCCTGGGCCTTCGTGCTCTTCGTCTTCGGCACGCTCTTCGGTAGCTGCCTGCAGCTTGGGTGGTGCTGCAGTACTTCCCTTCCGCCTTCCGCCGCTCGCTTTACTGTTCTTCTCTTTGCTATGGGCGCGGCCCGCTCTAGCATGCTCGGCGTTCGACTTGTCTTCGCACGCCCGCGGAACTAAAATTACCCTCACCAGCCCATCCACAATGGATGCCCAGGCGAATTGCCTTGATCAGGGAAGCGGAGGAGCATGCAGTGGATCAAAAGCTGGGAACGCCGTCGAACTGAAGTCTTGGATCAGCCTGCGCAGACCCAGGACCGAACCGCATGCGCTTTCGCGGACCTGCCGAATGATGACAAGCGGGGAAGATGGACGAGGGGGATGAGGGAGGAGGAGGAGGCGGAGGAGGAGGAGGAGGAATAGGCGAATCAAGAGGAGTATGATGATGATGATGATGATGATGATGATGATGATGATGATGATGATGATGATGATGAGGATGCTGATGAGGATGATGATGATGATGATGATGATGATGATGATGATGATGATGATGATGATGATGATGATGATGATGATGATGATGATGATGCTGATGAGGATGAGGATGATGAGATGAGGATGAGGATGAATGGAGATGAGGAGGAGGAGGAGGAGGAGGAGGAGGAGGAGGAGGAGGAGGAGGAGGAGGAGGAGGAGGACAATGGCGAGCTTGAGGGCTTCTTGGGGCGTCTTGGGGGCCTCTTGGCGGTCCCGAGGGCCTCTTTGCGTACCTCGGGGAGCCTCTTGGGGCCTCTCGGGGGTCTCTTCCGAGCCTCCTGGAGGCCTCTTGGGCGCATCTTTGGGGCCTCCTTGGCGCCTTTTTGGGCCCTCTTGGGGCGCTATTGGGAGGCTTGGGGACGCTCTGGGACCATCTTGGAGGACATCGTTTAAAAAAGGGAGGAGCTCCAATTAGCCCTGCCCCTCCAGAGTCTCGGACCCCTCTCGGAGTGTTTTTTGTGCGCCCTTGGGGCCGTATTAGGGCTCTCTCATGTCTTCCCTGGAGCTCTCTTGGAGCTGCCTTGAGGCCTCGGAAGACCTCAACAAGGCAATGTTCGCGGATTTTCCTTAGGTGTTTGAAGGATGTTGGCCTCTTGGCGGCCTCCGTGAGACGCTCCTTGGCCATTTGGAACCGTCTTGGAACGGTTTTGGGGCCTTTTGGAGCATCTTGGGAGCCATTTTGAGGCATGTGGGCTATCCTGGAGGTCATCTTGGGCTCTCTGAGGCGCCCTTAGAGCCGTCGTGGACCATCTTCGCTGCTCTGAGCGCTCACGAAACAGCCCCTCCAGGTCCAAGGGAGGGGGTCGGGGGAGGGGTCAAGATTCCCGCCCCGCCCGCAAGCCGTCTCGCTCACTCCCACCCGCCCTCCCAACACATACGTAGCACCCGAGTCTGGCCCGAGCCTCAGCATATTCAGCAGTCGTCTTCGGATGGGGAGCTACTGGGGGCCAATCCGCCGCCGCCGCCGCCGCGTCCGCCGCCGCCGCCGCTGCCGCAGCCGCAGCCGCCGCCACCGCCGCCCGCCGCCGCCGCCGCATCCGCGCCGCAGCCGCCGCCGCCGCAGCCGCCGCAGCCGCCGCCGCCGCCACGTGTATTGTGTATTGTGTTTTTGACAGGGATGGTGGGGTGAGGCCGCATCGGGTTGGCCGCGCATGCTCCGAATTTGGAGGCAGAGTGTGTCTTGTTTTTTACAAGGGATGGTGGGGGGTGCCCGCATGGTTCCTGGTTGGCTACCAGTCGCCTGGGGGAGGGGGTGTTTATTAATAGGGAACAGTGATCAAGACACTCTCCAGATAGCAAGCCATTTAGTTCACTCCCACCCGCCCTCCCAACACATGAGTAACACCCGAGCCTCAGCAGGTTCAGCGATCGTCTTTGGAGGGGCAGCTATTGGGAACCAAAACCGAGCCCATGTGCGCAATGCTGGGGCGAGGTGCGCTACGCGTGCCAGGCGCGCCACGCGCGCCAGGCACCCACGGGGCCCGAGCGTGCCAGGCACGCCTGGTTTTGCCAGATGCGCCACGTGCTTCCGCGTGCGCCAAGTGTGCCGCACACTCCAACCGCGCCAGGTGCGCCACGTTTGGGGCACGTGCAGAGTGTGCCAGGTGCGCCTGCGCACGTGACATCACACATCGGGAAACATGTCGGCCCCCACCATCCTTGTCGAAAACCAATGCCCATCATTGTGTCTGGTGGGCCTGCGCACAGCAGGCCATACACCACTACCGCCGCCGTCCCTGTCAAGAACCACTCTTCAATGATCGCGGGGCGGCCGCGCATGATCTAGATTTAGCCGCGAGGTGCATTTTGTATTATGCTTTGTCAGGGATGGTAGCCCTGCGCACAGCAGGCAATATGCTGATACCCCCGCCGCCCCTACCAAAAAACAATACAAAGTGCTCGCGGGCCTCACGAACATTACTCCAGACTTTGCCCCAAATTGAACTTTGCATGGTTTTTTGATCGGGATGGTGTGGGGGGAGGGGGGGGGCCCATCGGGTTGGTTGCGCATGCTCCGAATTTGGAGGCAGAGTGCGTTTTCCATTGTTTTTGACAAGGATGGTGGGGGGGGTGAGCATGATTCCTGGGTGACTGCCGGTCGCATGGGGGAGGGGGTGCATATTAATAGGGAACAATGATGAAACCCGTCCCCGAAGGGAAAGAAGGGGGTTGGAAGAGGAGCCTCCCTAGACCACCTGCGCCCAGAGGGTTGGTGGGATGTCCGGCAACCTCCAAAATAAGTGGCAGAGCGCCCAGAACGGAAGGCGACACGCCGCCAGAAAGGAAGGCCCAGCTTCCATCTTGAAGGCCATCCCCCAAAACGCGGCCGGTGCCGCCTCGCTCGGCCGCGGGAGTCCGCGACTTCCCATGGAAACGGGGCCCGTCGCAAATCCGCGCCCCCTTGGTCGATGTTTGCGATCGCCTGATCTTGGGAGCAAGATGAGGAGGAGGAGGAGGAGGAGGAGGAGGAGGAGGAGGAGGAGGAGGAGGAGGAGGAGGAGGAGGAGAGGGAGGAGAGGAGGAGGAGGGGAGGAGGAAAAAAAGGAGAGGAGGAGGAGGAGGAGGAGGAGGAGCAGGAGGAGGAGGAGGAGGAGGAGGAAAGGCTTTCCCCGTCTGGCTGCCGAGCCGCCGCCGACGGCCGCCGCCGAGAGGGGGGCCGCCGCCGGCGGGCGCCCACCGCACGCGGGCGCGCCGCGAGGAACGTCTCCGCGGGGGGCGCGCTGGCCCTCGTGGAGCTGGCGCGCGCGAGGAGTCGGAGGGAAGGAACGCGGTGACCATTGGGGGAACAATCACTGACACAAACATAAAAACTCGGAGGTCCGCGCGGATTCCTCGGATCGGCGCTGGGGCCCCCCGGCGGCGCCTCCGGCGCCGCCCCTGGAGGGGGGTCCAGCGCCGATCCGAGAAATTTGCGGGGACCTCCGAGTTTCTATGTTTATGTAAAATTTTGTTCCCCTAGACCAGGACCAAGCCTCCCAGACATGTTCGCATCGTGGCAACAAATCATGACGGAGGTTTCTGGCAATTCTCGGTTTGGGGGGGCCGTCGCTTGGCCCCAGGACAGTCAAAAAACGGCTCGGGATGAAAAACCGGCCCCGGGGAAGGGTCGGGACTTCCGTGATCTTGCCGGCGCCGACCTTGGTCATCCTTGAGATCCAGGCGCTGTGCTTTTTTCGCACGTTTTCGCCCGGTCTCGGTCCCAGGGGTCGCCACAGATCGATCCAGATCGAATAATAGACTGCAGAAAGGTGGGGTCTGGGGCTCGGGTCGCGATGTGTCGCGATGGTGTACCTTTTTTCGCAGCGCCTGGTCTCGGGGATGGTCCACTCTGGCCGTCGCCGATTCGCGAGGAGGCATTACGCATCGACGATGGCCCAGATGAGCGGTGGTCGGGGCTGGCACCGTCGTTTCTGTTGCATTTTCGGGGGACCTCGCCTGTCCCAAAAATTGATGTCTGTTTGGGGGCCCGACGCGTGCTCGATGCGGACTCGACGCGGATTTGGCGTGGATTCGACGCGGATTCAACACGGATTCGACACGGATCCGACGCGTCCGACATGGATTCGACACGGATTCGACGCGCACAGGGCCGCGACGGGACAGACAAGGTCCCCCGAGGATGCAACATAACGTCGTTTCTTCGTTGTCCGCCTCCGGTCGCGATGTGTCGCGATGGTGTATTTTTTTCGCAGCGCCTGATCTCAGGGTTGGTCCACTCCGGCCGTCGCCGATTCGCGAGGAGGCATTCCGCATCGACGATGGCCCAGATGAGCGGTGGTCGGGGCTGGCACCGTCGTTTCTGTTGCATTTTCGGGGGACCTCGCCTGTCCCAAAAATTGATGTCTGTTTGGGGGCCCGACGCGTGCTCGATGCGGACTCGACGCGGATTTGGCGTGGCTTCGACGCGGATTCAACACGGACTCGACACGGATCCGACGCGTCCGACGTGGCTTCGACACGGATTCGACGCGGACAGGGCCGCGACGGGACAGACAAGGTCCCCCGAGGATGCAACATAACGTCGTTTCTGCGTTGTCCGCCTTGGTCGCGGTCCTCGTGTAGTTGTTTCTGCGTCGTTTCTGCGTTGTTTCTGCGTTGTTTCTGCGTTGTTTCTGCGTCGTTTCTGCGTTGTTTCTGCGTCGTTTCTGCGTTGTTTCTGCGTCGTTTCTGCGTTGTTTCTGCGTCGTTTCTGCGTCGTTTCTGCGTCGTTTCTGCGTCGTTTCTGCGTTGTTTCTGCGTTGTCTCTGGGTTTCTAACATAACGTCGTTTCTGCGTTGTTTTTGCGTTGTCCGCCCCGGTCGCGGTCCTCGCGCGTTCCCCTGCCTGCCCGAGGAGGGCGGCGTCCGGCGCGCGGAACTGCCTGGCGCCGCCGGCGGCGGGGGCGCACGGCGAGGAGGGCGGGCGCGGCGGGGGGGGAGGAGGGGGAGGAGGAGGAGGAGGAGGAGGAGGAGGAGGAGAGAGGAGGAGGAGGAGGAGGAGGAGGAGGAGGAGGAGGATACGGAGGAGGAGGAGGAGGAGGAGGAGGAGGAGGAGGGAGGAGGAGGAGGAGGGGGCTCCGGGCTCCGGGCGTCGCCGGCGGCGGGGGCGCACGGCGAGGAGGGCGGGCGCGGCGGGGAGGAGAGGGGCGGGCGGGGGCGAGGAGGGCGGGCGGGGAGGGAAGCGGAGTGGGGGGGGGGGGGGCTCAGGAGGGAAAGAAACACACAGACACAATTAATCCTCGATCCCCCAGAAAATATGGGAAAATATATGGGAAGTGGGGGGGAAGACAGAAGCTTGGAAAATATAGGAAAATATGGGGAATCATTTTATTTGTGTGTATTTATTTGTGTGTCCTGGGGCCCCTTCAAGGGCAGGGAGGGGCGGCGGGGGCGAGGAGGGCGGACGGGGGGCGGAAGCGGAGTGGGGGGGGGGGGGGCAGGGAGGGGAGCCCAGACCCCCTCGCGTCGCGAAAAGATCACGACGGGGGGGTTTTCGTAATTTTTGGCCTCTGGGGGCCCTCACCGGCCCTCGGGACCGTCAAAAAACGACGCAGGACGAAGAACCGGTCCCGGGGAATGGGTCGAGACCTCGGGGGGTCGACGTCATGAAAAAATCATGACGTCGGGGGTCTGGGAGGGGGGGAGGCACAGCGGCGGGCGTTCGGGTCGCTGATGCTCGCGTTCTCGTCACCACCCACCAAGCCACCCCAACCCAACCCGAAGGTCTCGATTTGCCCTCGAGGAGGGCGGGCGGAGGGGGAAGCGGAGTGGGGGGGCAGTTGTGCGGTCCTTCATGGGGCCATCTCGTGGCGCTGTGCGGCTGCGGCGCGGGCACCGACGCATTGCGATGTAACGCGTGCGTCTTGCGAGTGGCGAGCCATCGACGCGGGGAAGCGCCGCGGTCAGAATCAGGGCCAAATCCGGTCGAAATCCATGGCACGTTCGGGCGTTGCTAGCTCAAAGAGGCTCCCATGAAGGACCATCTAAGGGCAGGGGCGGGAGGGGGGGAGGCACAGCGGCGGGCGTTCGGGTCGCTGATGCTCGCGTTCTCGTCACCACCCAAGAAGCCACCCCGACCCAACCCGAAGGTCTCGATTTGCCCTCGAGGAGGGCGGGCGGAGAGGGAAGCGGAGTGGGGGGGGCAGTTGTGTGGTCCTTCATGGGGCCATTTCGTGGCGCTGTGCGGCTGCGGCGCGGGCACCGACGCATTGCGATGTAACGCGTGCGTCTTGCGAGTGGCGAGCCATCGACGCGGGGAAGCGCCGCGGTCAGAATCAGGGCCAAATCCGGTCGAAATCCACGGCACGTTCGGGCGTTGCTGGCGTCAAAGAGGCTCCCATGAAGGACCATCTAAGGGCAGGGGCGGGAGGGGGGGAGGCACAGCGGCGGGCGTTCGGGTCGCTGATGCTCGCGTTCTCTCACCACCCAACAAGCCACCCCAACCCAACCCGAAGGTCTCGATTTGCCCTCCATTTCCAGTCGGGGGGGGGTCGGGGAACATCGCGAAAACACATATGGAACCCGTACCCCCCCCCACCCGAAATTCGGGTCTTCGGGTTGGGTTGGGGTGGTCTGGTAGGTGGTCGTTCTCGGCGTCAGGTTCTCGGGGCGGCGGATCGGCGGTTGCAGGCACGGCAGAACCGCTGGTTTCGCCGTTGCAGATGCTGCAGCCTCCGAGGAGGCGAGGCACCGCGCTCGGCAGCGTGCTCGTCGTGTGTTGGCCACGCTCCACTAGACCTGGCTGCAAGAGAGCATTGCTCAGTGGCTCTGGCGATAACGTTCCCACCTCAGCCAGATAGTTTCGAAGGGCTAGGGTAAACGAAGCACGATGGAGTGAAGACAGTTCGGAGGCGGTAAACCAGGAAGGGGGCCGTGGAAGAGCTCTCAGGCCGTAAGCATCCCCTCGGCCTCGTCTTGCCTCGCCTGTTTCCGGGACCCTCTCCCTGTCGGCGGTCCTGGGTAATGCCGGTGCTCGCCCAGGGGCTTGGGGCCCCCTTAGGTCTCGCGCTCGTGGCCCCAGGGAACTTGGTGGAAAGCTCAGGCTGGCAGGCCTTGGCGGGCGGCAAGAAGGCGCATACAAAACGGGCACGGCCTCGGCGCCGCAGCTCTCGAGAAGCCTCTGGTGGAGCGACGGAGAGAGAGAGAGAGAGAGAGAGAGAGAGAAGAAAGCACAAAACAACAAATAAAAAGAAGACAAGCAAAACACAAACAAACAAAAAGAGAGAAGGCGCAGGCAAGGGGCGGATGCGAGCTTCTTGCTCGGGCGGTGCCCTTCGGCAGACGGAGTGCCGTCTCTCTCTCTCCCTCTCTCTCTCTCTCTTGCGCCGCACAGCTCGAAGCGTGGCCGCGCGAGGACGCCGCGCTCCAGCTGGCGAGCCCCGAGGGCCACCTCGGCGCTCTGTGGCAAGGCCGCGCCGACCTGCCGCCGCCACCCGCTCGACCCCGCGTGGCCTGCGGCCCCGCCGCCTCGGCCTGCGCTGGCGTGCCTGGCACCGAAGAAGGACAGCATAGACATAAACTGTCGGAGGTCCACGAGGATGCCTTGGATCGGCGCCTGGGACCCCCTGAATCAGAGCGTGAATCACCTACCCCGCTTCCGCTTCCAGGCTAAACCAAGCCAGACCACGCGCCTCCTCGTCAAGCGGCCCGACCAGTACAGGCTGCCACTCGGCACCGTTTGGCATCTCTTGGAGGCGAGGGTGGTCAAAAGCGAGGTAGGTTTGGTTTCCCCCTAATGGAGGCGCCTCCGGCGCCGTCCCTGGCGCGCTCCGCGCGCCTTGGAAGGGGGGGCCTCGTTCCGTTCCTTAGGTCAACGCCCCGACTGTAAGCATAAACTTTCGGAGGTCCACGAGGATGCCTCGGGTCGGCGCCTGGGACCCCCTGGAGGCGCCTCCGTCGCCGTCCCTGGCGCGCTCCGCGCGCCCTGAAGGGGGGCCCGGCGCCGCCTCGAGAAGTCCGCGCGGGGCTCCGAGAGTTTTGCTCATGCCGTTTGCTGTCGGAGGTCCACGAGGATGCCTTGGATCGGCGCCCGGGACCCCCTGAAGGCGCCCGTCCCTGGCGCGCTCCGCGCGCCTTGGAAGGGGGGGCCCGGCGCCGCCTCGAGAAGTCCGCGCGGGGCTCCGAGAGTTTTGCTCATGCCCGTTTGCTGTTCTTCCGGGCCCCGCCCGCTCTGCCCTGCGCCGGCGTGCCTTCCGCACCCCCTCCCGAAGAGGGCTAGAATTAGGTCGGGCGTGCCCCCCTACAGGGGGCTTTCGACGACAAACATAAAAATTGACCCCCAAAATAGTCAAACAATAGTCCAAAAATAGTCCGCGTTTTTTTTTTTACCTTAGGTTTTTTTGTTTTCAAACAAAAAATCGGCGAAAGCCCCCCTGTAGGGGGACAGGCCCGACTTCAGGTTAGAAGCCTTCAGAATGGGGCTGCGGCCTCCACTCCGGAGGCTCTTCGCTGCCTCGCTCTGGAGCGTCTTTCTCCTCAAAGAGTGGAGGCCCGACCTCCATCACGACTCCGAGTCCCCGTACAGTGAGCGGCCTGAATAAGAAACACTTACTAGTCAAAAGGGGCTCGGTCGTTCCTTAGGTTCGCGTGCTTTATGTATCGTTCCCTATGCGCCTTGGAAATAAGGGGCCTCGTTCCTTATTTATCGTTCCTTAGGTCAGGCCGATGACTGTACTTCGGTCGATCTTCCGACTTACACTTGCGTCGGACATGTTTTCCGCAGGATGCAAAACAGTCGGGTGGGAGATTCCAGCTCGAATGAGCAGGACTGACGTCTCCGCAAAAGCATGGCGGGAACAGCGACAGCAAAGTACGGCATCACAGGAGCCTGAGACAGACGGCGGGGATGTCGGCCTTTCTCTCCACATCGCCCAGAGTACGGTCGGACCGAGGTATAAGATGGTATAAGATCGAGGTCGGTTCGGGGAGGGTGCCCTGATGTTCTTCGTTTTTGTTTGTAGGATGTTCTTGTGCATCCTGGGAGGGGGGCACCCTCGACTGTTCTTCGATCTGGGGCCGGCGGAGGGCCGCATGCTCTTGAGGGACGTTCTTCTGCCCTTGGTCCGGCTGGATCTAGAGCCATCTCCTCGAGGATATACGAGGATCGAGAGGAGGAAGAAGGAGAAGAGGAGAAGAGGAGGATTGGATGCTCCTATGCTGGAGGGATGAGGATGGAGGAGGGCGGATCTGGAGCCAGGGCCTGGAGCGGAAGTGCTTGCTCCTCCGGGGGGGTGCGCCCGCCGGCGCTCCGCGCTCCGCCCCGCCCCGAGGCGGGCGGCGTGCCGCGGCGGGCCGGCCCGCGCCGTTCCGAGAGAGGGGGCGCGGCGCTGCACCTTCGGGGGGCCGCCCGCCGCAATCCCGGGAGCGGCTGTCTGCTCTCGTGCTCCGACGCGGACTCGACGGGGATTCGACGCGGACTCGACGCGGATCTGACACGGATCCGACACGGACTCGGCGCGGATCTGCGACGGACTCCGACGGACTCCGACGCGGATCCGACACGGACTCTCCGACGGACTCCGACGCGGATCTGACACGGACTCGACGCGGACTCGACGCGTTCGCCGTGGAGCCGGCCGGCATTTGGGTGCGGCACGGACTGGACCTGCGCGATGGGGGCAGCCGAGGTCCCCCGATAGATGCAACCAACGAGGGGTGTGCTCCGGGTTTGGGTCGGGCCTTCCTGCGTGGTCGCTCCAGGCTCAAAGGGAGAAAAGGTACATACCCATACCTCTACCCTTCCCTCGTTTTTCCCTTTTTGGGCCTCCTGGGCCTCTGTCGTCGCCACCGCTGGATTCGCCTCGAAATTCTGGTCAGAACGCACCCCGGGAGAGGTCCGGGGAGCAGCGATATCGGTACCTCATGGAATCCCCACAGGCGCCTCGTTGCGCCCGAGGGAGCAGTTGCGTGCAGCTGCTTCGCTGATACCCCTTGGCCCCGCCCTGACTCCGGATGCGCCGTACGTTGACTGACATTCCTTCTGAAAGATTCGGCGGGCATGCAGCCCGAACGATGTCAGAAAGCAGGGCGGAAATTTCCGCCTCGGAGAAGTAGGGCGAACATCTCCGCAAAGGCGTGGCCGAAACAGTGACGGCAAAGCAGGGCGGAAATCGACATCAAAAACGCTTGATAAGTAGGACGGGGATTTCCGCCCTACTTGCGAAATCGCCCAAAGTTCGGCGGATCCGTAATCAGGGCATGGACCACCGTTTGCTTCGGGGCCCAAAAGGTTTTCGGGCATTTTTGTTGGTTCTTGTGGGATTTCCTGCCTCGGGATGCGTTCGGGCAGCTGCGCCTCGCCCAGAGCGTTCTGGGTGTGCCCGCCGAGTCGTCCCGAAGAGCCGAGCTACGGCCCGAAAACCGTGGTCAGGATCCATTTCGACCCGACCAAGTCTGACCAATTTGATTCGGTATCGATTCCGGCCGGCTCGCAAACGATTTTCCTGCGGCCCGATGCGGCCCGATGTTGCTTGCGCGGCGCTGCTGTGCATCCTGGCGCAGCTGGTCCGATCCCGGTTCCGATTCCGTTCCGACGCAGGCCGACCCGGCGCACGTTCTGACCCGAGATGCGGACTGATCTTAAGTCGGGCCTGTCCCTCTACAGGGTGGATATTCAAAAATAGTCAAAAAATAGTCTGGGGACGATTTTCTATATATATATATATATATATATATATATTTGTTTATGGCCATTTTGGAGCATTGTTTGAATATTTTCTATTCTTCGTCGAAAATCCCCCTGTAGAGGGACACGCCCGACTTAAGACTGATCCTGCCTCTCGTCCGCGGTGATCGGGTGTGTGGGGGTCTGCGGCGTGGCCCGAGGGAGCGGCCAGGACGGTGCCTCCGGCACAGAGGGAGGGCCGTGGGGCTCAAGGTGTCCCCAGTCTGGACAGGTGCTGCCACCTCGAAACACTTCAAAGTAGCAGAAACATACAGTGGGGCGCGTGTTAAGAAACCAGTTGGATTCTGCCAGGGTGCCCTGGGTTTCTTGGATTTCGATGGGCCTCCAATAAGATCTTGACGATTTTCGATCGACAACTTCGGATTTTCACTGAACAAATCGCGGATTTCAGGGTTGGGTTTCTTGCGGAGGTTTCTTGTGGCCGAGCCCCTAGTGTATAGAAGCATGGATAACGAATTGAGGCGATAAACGCAGCCAGACGGTGGTAACCAGGTAGCGAAAGCAGGCTGTCCACAGGCAGGGGCAGTGCAACCTGGGGCCGATGCTCCAAGAAGCGAACATCACCACCCACCAAACCACCCCAACCCAACCCGAAGGCCCCAATTTGCCCTCCATTTCCAGTGGGGGGGGGCCAGGGAACATCGAAAAAAAAAAACACGTTACGGAACCCGAAAATCCATCTCCCCCCCCCTATCGCCATCCTCCCTCATATATTATTAATTCATCCTCCCCCCCGCCAACCCATAGCCAACACAACAAACAAACAAACCAATATCCACCCCCAACACAACCACAACTACCACCCAAAAAATCCAGAATTCCCCCATATTACCCCCAACTACACCCTAAAATTCGGGTCATCGGTTAATAGTAGTTATGGGTGGTCTGCGTAGGTTGCAGAACAAGCACGGACCATGAACTAGCCCGGAACTGAACTGCCGGTTGAACTTGCCCCGAGCTTCCGCGTGGATAGCCAGCCCACCCCCCGCCCCCTCCCGGTCGGCGCCGCCCGGCCCCCCCCCACCCCCCTGGCGTGGCGCCCATCCGGCGCCGCCCCCCCACCCACCGCGAAACTTCCGCGCGGGGGCGGGTGGCTCTTCTTGCTCTTCCCGCGCCGCAGGCCTGGTGTGAAGGTCGGGCCTGTCCCTCTACAGGGGGGATATGCAAACATAGTCAAAACATAGCTTGGGGACTATTTTTGGAGTATTTTTGGGCATCTTTGGGGCATTTTTCCCTACCTAGGCTCTGCCTAGAAGGGTTCTTACTCTGAGGCTCAAGGGGCCGGGCAGTGGAACCCACCCCGGGCGGTTCCCCCAGGATCCGCCCCGCGGTTCCCCCAGTGACGTTCCCTTAGCTTCGCGTTGCTTATCTCATCTTAGCTTATCTTATTTCATCTTAGCTTAGCTTCATCTTAGCTTAGCTTAGCTTCATATAAGTGTTAGATGTTGCTTTCCTAGATCCTCCAACTCCTAGGTAGGGTCGCACTGGGATAATTTTTAGTATTTTTTATTTTTCGCCCAAAATCCCCCTGTAGGGGGACAGGCCCGACTTGAGCCTGGTGGCGAGGGCCGCTGTCAGGCCCTGGGGCCGTCATGGAGCTGTGCTGGGTGAGAAGCTCCGGGCCTCCCAGATGGTTTCCGAGCAGGGGGGGTCGGAGGATCGCGCCGCACTGCCGATGCGTCGGCGATTCGGCTCGATGTGGAGCCCGCTCTTCTCCACGCCGAC